AGCCAATAAATATTGATGCACCAATATGGTTTGGCTGTATCCCCACCCAAATCTCACCTTGAACTGTAATAATGCCCACATGCCAAGAAGGGGCCAGGTGGAGAAAACTGAATCATGGGGGCAATTTTCCCACATACCATGTTCTCATGGTAGTGAACAAGTCTCATGAGATCTGATGATTTTATAAATGCGAGTTCCCCTGCACAAGCTCTCTCTCACCTGCTGCCATGTAAAATGTGACTTTGCTCCTCATTCACCTTCTGCCATGATTGTGAGGCCTGCCCCGCCATGTGGAACTGTAAGTCAATTAAACCTCTTTCCTTTATAAATCACACAGTCTTGGTTGGGTGTGGTGGCTCACACCTGTAATTCCAGTCTTTTGGGAGGCCGAGGTGGGCAGTGGATCTCTTGAGGCTAGGAGTTCGAGACCAGCCCAGCCATCATGGTGAAACCCAGTCTCTACTAAAAATACAAAAATTAGCCAGGCGTGGTGGTGCATACCTGTCATCCCAGCTACTCGGGAGGCTGAGGCAGGAAAGTCACTTTAACCCAAGAGGTGGAGGTTATAGTGAGCCCAGATTATACCACTGCACTCCAGCCTGGGCCACAGAGTAAGACTGTCTCAAAAAAATAATCAGAACGAATTACCCAGTCTCGGGTATGTCTTTATTAGCAACATAAGAATGAACTAATACAGTAAATTGGTACTAACAGAGTGGACCACTGCTGTAAAGATATCTGAAAATGTGGAAGCAACTTTGGAACTGGGTAACTGGCAGAGTTTGGAAAAGTTTGGAGAGCTCCAAAGAAGATAGGAAGATATGGGAAAGTTCGGAACTTCCTAGAGACTTGTTGAACGGCTTTGACCAAAATGTTGATAGTGATACGGACAATAAAGTCCAGGCTGAGGTAGTCTCAGATGAAGACAAGGAACTTCTTGGGAACTGGAATAAATGGGTCACTCTTGCTATGCAAAGAGACTGGCAGCATTTTGCCTCTGCCTTAGAGGTCTGTGGAACCTTGAACTTGACAGAGATGATTTAGGGTATCTGGCAGAAGTAATTTCTAAGAGCAAAGCATTCCAGAGGAAGAAGAGCACAAAACTAAAATTTGCAGCCTGACAAATGTGATAAAAAAGAAAAACCCATTTTCTGGGGGAGAAATTCAAGCCAGCTACAGAAATTTGCATAAGTTATGTGGAACTAAATGTTAACAGGTATAACTACCCAATGCCTGTACCATCATTGTATCTAGGAACTAACTTGCTTCTAATTTTACAGGCTCATAGGCAGAAGGGACTTGCCTTGTCTCAGATGAGACTTTGGACTGTGGACTTCTGAGTTAATACTGAAATGAGTTAAGACTTCAGGGGACTGTTGGGAAGGCATGATTGGTTTTGAAATGTGAGGACATGGGATTTGGGAGGGGCTGGGGCAGAATGATATGGTCTGGCTGTATCCCTACCCAAATCTCACCCTGACTTGTAATAATCCCCATGTGTCATGGACGAGGCCAGATGGACATAATTCAGGTAGGCAATTTTCCACATACCATGTTCTCATGGTAGTTAGTAAGTCTCACGAGATCTGATGGTTTTATAAATGGAAGTTCCCCTGCACAAGCTCTCTCTTGCCTGCTGCCATGTAAGACGTGACTTTGCTCCTCATTCACCTTCTGCCATAACCGTGAGGCCTCCCCAGCCATGTGGAACCCCTTTCCTTTATAAATTACCCAGTCTCAGGTATGTCTTTATTAGCAGTGTGAGAATGGATTAATAAATGCACATTGTAAGAAAAAGTTGTCCCAGAAGCTCCAGACTAATACCCAATCATCCATACAAATCAGATCAACATTTAGTAAATAAGTCAAATTAAAAGTTCAGACATTACAACTCTATCCAGAAAGCCTGAGTTCAAGTTCTAGTTCTACCATTTGAATTACCTAAGACTTTTTGCCAAATCACTTTATTTGAATCACTCAAAATATGACTAGGAAATAACCTATCTCCTAAGAATCTAAGGAAGTTAATTATTTGAAAGAGCTGAGATTTCTTGACAATAAAGTTAAGTCCCATTAATATTTCAGTTTAACTATCCTGAAAATAGTTTTTAAAAAATCATTCCAAACTGATTTTCCAAATGTTTCATCTGTAATATGAGTGTGACGATAATGGAATCCATCTCATATGAGTACTGGAAGGATTCAATGAGAATACACATAAAATAGAACATTACTAGCACAGAGTAAGCACTCAACCAGTGTTAGGTATTTTTATTACCAGCATGATATTAGCATCGAGGAATTTAATGCAAACTTCTTGGAGGGCATTCTGGTAACAATAGCTAACAACACTTTCAATGCATATACCCTCTGAAACACTTTTAGAAATTATTCCTTAAGATACACTTACATAGGTGTACAAAATGCAAGCTCAAGTTTGCTCAATGCAGCAAATATTCACTGACAAAAGCTGATTAAATACATCATGGAACAGCCATACAAAGGGAATACTACGCAAATGTCAAAAAGAATGAGATAACTATACATGCTGATATAAAAAGAGCCACATTATTTATCCTTGAATAGGCTTTCACATTTTCTAAGGGAGATAAGAAACTACTAATAGTGATTACTTCTGGGTAATAGTAAGACTGGAGGATATGAAGAACAGATAACCTTTTATCTTCTATTTTAAACTTACTAGATACTTTTAAAATTCCATATCATGTGAATATTATTAAATCATTATTTTTTAAAAAAATAGTTTACAGAAATCACTTGTCTAGAAACCAGAAAACATTGGGTGTTCTTGGTTTCAACATTTTGGATTTCTGTTTCTAATGTTTGAGGGTAATGTCTGAAAATAATGTAATTAAAATAATGTAATCCTTCCAAGAAAGGCAGTAAAAAAAAGAAAACTTGCTACAATAATTATTAAATAAGATTTTTAAATGCATTAAGTTTGGACTTCTCTTTAATACTTGGGACTATATGAACCCCTGGCACTGATAATGACATTCAATTACTATATTCTCATTCCCCTATAAACACCAGCTCCTTGGAACTTCTGCTCCACATCAACCATCCTGTCTCATTAACTTCAAGCACAAATTGAGCTCTGCTGTTCTCGCTCCCAAAACCAGTACGTGCATACTCTGACCATCTGAGAAAAAAGTGACAATTAAGCAAGACAACCCCTCATTTCCCTTATTTTCAGGAAACCTCTGGGAATGGTTATTCTACACTCTTCTCAGCTGGCTATACATGATCAAAATGAACTCTTCTCAAAAAAGTATTTGTGTAGGTTAAAACTGATCTGAACATGGCCAAGCCTAAGATTAAGAACAAGGTTACTGGTTTTAGGGTTCTGGCAAAAACAGAAAAATGAAAATGAAAAAGGAAAGAAATTCGTGGAAAAGGAAGGGACTCATAAATAAGAAGAGAAGAAGAAATGGCACATCCAAAAGTAGACTAGCAAGCCCTGACCTTAACAGGCAAGACATAAGGTAAAACTGAGAAAGCTTATGTTAGTATTAGAAACCATGACCTAGCTAACCCTTTAGAAAGCTCCCCCTAAGCCCACTGCCCTATTCACTAATTTCACAAGAAATTAATCTTTTCCCTCAGTTCAGACAGCTCTTCAATGCTCACTTCAACAGCTCCCTTTAAATCACAACTGTAAAAGTGATGCATTATCTTAGGATGGTCTGTATATATGGAAAATACATTTCAGGACTGTCTGCAAATAAACTTATTCTACTTACATATCACATTTACTGTGTGTGTGTGAGAGAGTGTCGGTGCGCATGAGCAAGGGCACATATGCGCAAGAGCACTGACAGGAAATAGTCCCTATCCAATTTTAATTGATGTATTGTATGCACTGTCAGGACTAAAAGTCTCTGGGTTCTAGTATTAGAATAAAAGTTACTACTCAAATACCTGAAATTATTTTTCAACTATAAAGAACATGATAACAGCAAACAACAAGAACACAGCACTTAAAGAAAAAATATTGAGAGGCCAAGGCAGGTGGATTGCCTGAGCTAAGGAGTTCAAGACCAGCCTGAGCAACTTGACAAAACCCATCTCTACAAAAAATACAAAAATAAGCCAGGTGTGGTGGTGTGTGCCTATAGTCCCAGCTACTTGAAAGGCTGAGGTGGGAGGACGGCTTGAGCCCAGGAGGTGAAGGTTGCAGTGAACCAAGATTGCATCACTGTACTCCAGCCTGAGCAACAAAGCCAGATGCTAACTCAAAAAAAAAGAAAAAATAATATTAACCAGTCTCTTTTAGTTACTAGAACTGTTCTTACTATGGCTGAATCCATCATACAGGGAGCTGAAAAAGTATTAATAAAAGTCAAGCATATTAAAGAAACACAAGAAAAAAATGTGTACCATAAATTAAGAACACATATAAAATATTATCTAATATGTATAAAATGTATCTAAATAAAGCCAGGTGCGGTGGCTCATGCTTCTAGTCCCATCATTTTGGGAGGCCAAGGCAGGCAGATAATTTGAGGTCAGGAGTCAAGACTAGCCTGGCCTACATGGTAAAATCCTGTCTCTACTAAAAATACAAAAATTAGCTGGGCATGGTGGTGGGTGCCTGTAATCCTGGCTACCTGGGAGGCTGAGACAAGAGAATTGCTTGAACCCGGGAGGCGGAGGTTGCAGTGAGCCGAGATTGCGCCACTGCACTCCAGCCTGAGGGACAGAGTGAGACTCTGTTTCAGAAAAAAAAAAAAAAAAGGAATAAATGGCTATTTCCCCAAAAAACTCTGACTTATTTTTGTCACTAGAAATTTTTTTAATTTTTATCTTAGCATTGGAGTCATGGTTTAATACTGCAATTGGTAATTTATATGGCTTAAAAATAAAAGTTAATAGAGCCTGATAGTAATTTTAAATAAAATCAGTAAGACACAAACAAAAAATTAAGCACATATACAATGCAATCGGTTCCATGTTTTACTCAGCTTAAACATTTTTACCTGAGGGAACAGCTGAATTGTTTTGGTGGTTTTCACTGGCAGAAACAAACAAATCTTCTTCTCCTTCAGTTGATGAGCTAGAAGAGGATTCGCTGCTGAGGTCATTCTCACTGGAACTACTAGAACTAGGTAGCAAGGCATATTTTCTTCGCGCTAACACTTCTCGTTTCTTCCTCTGCATTAATATCCTCTCTTTTTGTTTCTGTGTCCTCTGTGAGGAATTATTTTTTACAAATCTCTTTCTGCATGGAAGTCTCCGTAATGAACTGCTATGTAAACAGGGTCTTTTCATTAACAATCCTGATACAGATTCTGTCTCAGTCCGAGGCCACTTATGAGACCGTGCACTATGGCTTCTACTTTTAGCACTCAAAATGGTCTGGGAATGTCTTACAGGGACTTCTTTATCCTCATCTGAAGTCACAGTATCAGAATCTCCAAAATGCAGACTAGATGAAGGAGAAGAAAGACAATCACTAAAAGAGGAATCATTATCTTCATCACTAGGTGCTCCTAGGTGTTGCCTCAGTCCTAATATTCCCTGGTTTTCTTTAACACAATTCTGCACATACGAAGGGCCAGCCTGCTGGCTTTTGCGTTTTTTCCTCACGACGACACTTTTTTCTTGTTCTTGCTGGTTACCATTCATGTCCTTCTCTTGTTTTTGAGAATCATCACAAAGGTGAGAGAATTCATTCCCCACTTTACTATTAATCATCTCAACTCCTGCAGGAAAACTTTTGGCTGCCCCAATGGGCTCTGGATGCAAAAGGATCCCTTTCAGACTCTCCTGTGTCTTTGGTGCATCAGAAGGAATCTCACTCTTCATATCCACTTTTAAGGTGTAGAGCTCGTTATATTCAGGAGTCCATTGAGACATGGGAAACTTTAAGGAAAGCCTAGAAGACAAAATTAGATATTTAAAAGAATTTTAATGTGTTTTATTATACTATTTAACTGAAGAGTTCTCAAATACCACCAAGAAGATCCCTTATAAAGGCAGAACTGTCTTTTCCTCATCAGTGCACAAAATGTCTGTTATGAATTATTTTACTGTTCTTATAAAACATTTTTCTCTGGTCACTCTATTCATGCACCCAATTTTTAGAAATACAGTAAATATAGAGCATAAGCCTACTTAAAAACTTCTATTAATCAAAAACTGATCTTGTTGCATATCTTACTACCTTCAGCAACATAACATATTTGGTCAAATCAAACAATTACTTCAAAACCTATTTCAGTGAAATATAGACAAAAGGATTCGAATTCAAAAGACTAGTCAACATGTTTTACTCCTGGTATGACATTTTTAAGTGGTTATTAAATATTTCTGTACATCTAGATGGTTACATTAGATTGATACTATTAATAATGAGCTAATGAATATAAGCTTCTCTTTTCTATGTTTTTTTCCTTCATACCATTCTATTAATTCTCTAATGAGAATCTGAATTCTCCTGATAATAGGCACAACTACTGCATTTCAGTTTTAGATACAGAAAGATTACAGCCAAGACTTTGGGCTGCTGAAGATTATTCAGTTAAATAAACAGTACAGCAGAATATAAAATCAAACTTTGTACAGCTAATCTATCTAAATCATTCAACATCTTAAATTATGAACTGCCAAAAGGAGATCTGAATTTAAAGCATTTACATCAATGCAATGTACATATGAAAATAACTAAAAATTAGTAAATATCATGACAAAATGAAACATATTCATCAGAAAGGCAGTTACTGTGACAAACGAAGAGCTTCACTGGTGTAAAATATGAGTAAACACTGTTAACATATTTTTAACAAGTTTTTATTAAGTATAGCATACACATATAGTCTAAGTTTATAGATCAATGAACACTAACAAAATGAACACCTCTATGTAACTGGCAAACAGATAGAGAAACAACATAACCAGCACCCTAGAAATCCTCTTGCCATTACTACAACCCATCGAGTTGTTAACCACTATTGTAACTTCTGACACCATAGATTTGTTTTGCCCAGAAAATACATTTTTAAACCAGTTCCTAAAAAGCGAGTAAAACAGCTGTTTTGTAAGCAAGTATTTTCCCTCTCTACAAATGGGTTACAGAAATATATAATCTTACAGGTCTCCCATGTTACTGTAGTATACAACTTTATTATCAGAACAAATGACAATAATTAAGGCATAGAATGGCCTATTCCTACAAAAAGCTATCAAAACCACTATCTTCTTTTATTCTTATTTACAAGGACAGGCAGTGCTGTATCCAAGATCAGCCATCAAGCCCTATCTGTAGTTCAGCAGGATCAGTGATAAACCAGGAACACAAAGATGAGTGAACATGAGCATGGCAATGAGCAAATTACAGAAGGCAGCCAGTCAGACAAGGATCATTTTAATTAAAGGCAAGAAAACAGAAGTCACAATGATAAAACACAGGTACATGTGATCTAAGAGTTGAACGGGATCAAATAGGATGGCTATAATAAAGAAGACAGGTAATAACAAGTGTTAGAGAGGATGCAAAAAAAAAAAATTGGAACCCTCATACATTGCTGATGGAAATGTAAAATCGTACAAGCTACTTTGGGAAGCAGTCTAGCAGATCCTCAAAAATTAAATAAAGGCTGGGCATGGTGGCTCATATCTGTAATCCCACCACTTGGGAGGCCAAGGCGGTGGATCACTGGAGGCCAGGAGTTCAAGACCTGCCTGGCCAACATGGCAAAACCCCATTTCTACTAAAAATACAAAAATTAGCCAGGCTAGTTGCACATGACTATAATCCCAGCTACTTGGGAGGCTGAGGCATGAGAATCGCTTGAACCTGAGAGGAAGAGGTTACAGTGAGCTGCGATTGCACTGCTGCAGTCCAGCTTGGGCAACAGAGCAAGACTCTGTCTCAAGGAAAAAAAAAAATTAAACACAGAATTGCTATATGACCTAGCATTTCCACTCCTAGGTATGTACCCAATAGAAATGAAAACATATACTCATAAAAAAACTCATAAACAGCAACATTAGTCATAACAGTCAAAAAGTGGGAACACAAATGCCAATCAACTGATGAATAAATAAATCCACATGAAAGATTACTCAGCAACAGAAAGAAATGAAGTATGGTAGTCCCTCACTATCACTATCCAGTTTAACTTTCCACAGCTTCAGTTACTCACAGTATGAGAGAGAGACCACATTCACGAAAGTTTTATTACAGTATACTGTTAGAATTGTGCTATGTTATTGTTGTTGTTAGTCTCTTATTCTGTCTAATTTATAAATTAAACTTTATCATAGGCATGTAGGTGTATGAAAAAAGAAACACTATATGGTTTCAGGCATCCACTGGGGGTCTCAGAATGGTTTCCCCTTGGATGAGGGCAGGGACTACCATACTGATTCAAGCTACAACACGGATGAACAATATGCTAAGTAAAAGAAACCAGTCAAAAAGATAACATAATGTAAGGTTCCCTTTATATGGAATGTCTGGAATAGGCAAATCTACAGAGATAGAACGTGGGTACCTAGGGCTGGGGATGATAGGAAGATTCGACTATAATGGCCAAAAAGTATGGAGTTTCTGGCCAGGCACGCTGGCTCACACCTGTAATCCCTATACTTTGAGAGGCCGAGGTAGGTAGATCACCTGAGGTCAGGTGTTCGAGACTAGCCTGGCCAATATGGTGAAACCTTGTCTCTACTGAAAATACAAAAAATTAGCCAGGTGTGGTGGTGTGCACTTGTAATCCCAGCTACTCAGGAGGCTAAGACAGGAGAATTGCTTGAACCAGGGAGGCAGAGGTTGCAGTGAGCCAATATCGCACCAATGCACTCCAGCCTGGGCAACAAGAGTGAAACTTCGTCTCAAAATAAATAAATAAATAAATAAATAAAATAAAAGGTGGGCCGGGCGCAATGGCTCACGCCTGTAATCCCAGCACTTTGGGAGGCTGAGGTGGATCACCTGAGGTCAGGAGTTTGAGACCAGCCTGACCAACATGGTGAAACCCTGTCCCTACTAAAAATACAAAAATCAGCCAGGCATGGTGGCAGACACCTGTAATCCCAGCTACTCAGGAGGCTGAGGCAGGAGAATCACTTGAACCCAGGAGACAGAGGTTGCAGAGAGCCGAGACTGCGCCACTGCACTCCAGCCTGGGCGACAGAGCAAGACTCTGTCTCCCGGAGGAAAAAAAAAAAGGTATAGAATTTCTTTTCTTTTCAGTGAACTGAAAATGTTCTACAATTGATTGTGGTGCCAGCTATGCAACTCTGTGAATATACTAAAAACCCAATGAAATTATATCCCAATAAAACTCCTGCCAGAAAGTCAAGAGGTTAAAAAAAAAAAAGTGAAAAAGTCAAGAGGAAAAGTATCAAGATTTCTGGGCATCTGATAACTATATAGACTCCATTAGCAACAGAAATCTCATGATGTATCTTGGAAACAGCTGGGGTTCTTCCAGAAATCCATGTCAGAGTTATGTTCTGGTGGATTTCAGAGGAGGAGATCTTGGAGTCTTTACTGGCTGAAGATTTAAAAATGAGACTCCTCATCCATAATTACTAAGTCCTCATGTTGATAATGGAGATCATGAGAGGCAATGAAAATTTGCCAAAAACCAGACAAATTCTGAGAACATGGAGCCATGTACATTAGTTTACAAAGAAGCGATTCATAGCACAATTAACTGAACCCAATTTCTTTTCCATCATTTCATGTCCCAAAGCCAAAACAATGCAATCAACTCTTTATGGTTAAATCTGCTCTGATTTTTGGTCAATTTAGTCTGTCCAATGAGAAAACAGTAGAGGGGAGCAAGGAGGGGTGGTTTGGTGTATGCTGCGGTGTGTGTTTGTACACCAGTAACTGTTCTCGGAGTTACCATGTCATGCAGTCATTAAATGCAAAATTAGCATACCATATAACTACGAGGTTCCCACCCAGGGAGTAATTCACACTTTTTTTTTTTTTCTAAAATCCATCGCTGTATTGTATCATGTTCTAAACGCTTTTTTCTAAAATCCATCGTTGTATTGTATCAGTCTGTATTTTGAACCGAGAAGAGGAAAGTTCAAAAAGAGACACAAGTATTGCACTTAACTTAAAAAGTGGCAAATATAACAACAGATAATATTCTCAATGATTCGCTATTTGATAAAATTGTATTCTAGTCTTTTATTTTTGTAAAAATTATTGGCTGATCTAATTTACAAAGGAGGCAAATGTGTACAAGATATATCTCCTTGGTGACATTATAAATGGCTTGCTGTTATACATTGCTTCAATAGTGAAACCATAATACTAGTCTCTCTTTGTGTACACCGATCCAATCATTTTATTGCTATATCATGATGACTTCATGCTAATTACTCCTGATACTAGTGTAGAATACACCACTATTGGTAAACCTTGCACTAAGAAAATACAATACCTAAAAAAAATACTTTCAAAACTAAAATTTAGAGTTGGGATTCACATTTTATGTGATCAAGTTTATGTGAGCAAAAGGAGGACAAACCCATTAAGACTACCCATACAACTCTGAAGAACTCTACTTCTAAACTGTGATACACTATTATTGGTATGATGCTTCACTACCAATTATAAATATGAATACTTGCTTCAACTGTAAATAAAAATGTAATTATTGCTTACATGACTCTAAAGAAACAAGATTTTTAAAAGAAATTTTAAAAGCCGGCCAGGCACAGTGGCTCACATCTATAATCCCATCACTTTGGGAGGCCGAGGCAGGCAGATCACTTGAGGTTGGGAGTTCGAGACCAGCCTGACCAACATGGAAAAAATCCGTCTCTATCAAAAATGCAAAGTTAGCCAGGTGTGTTGGCACATGCCTGTAATCCCAGCTACTCAGGAGGCTGAGACAGAAGAATTGCTTG